CTAGTGGGGTTGTGTGGTGGGGGTTGTCTGGTGGGGGTTCTGGTGGGGGTCGTCCTGTGGGGGGTTGTGTGGTGGGGGGTTGTTTGGGTGGATGTCGTCTGGTGGGGGACGTCTAGTGGGGGGTCGTCTGGTGGGGGTCGTCTGGTGGGGGTCGTCTGGTGGGGGTCCGTCAGTGGGGGTTGTGTGGTGGGGGTCCGTCTGGTAGGGGTTCTTGGTGGGGGTCGTCTGGTGGGGTTGGTGGTGGGGGTTCTTGACTTTTTTTGTGGTGGTGGCTTCTGGGTGGTCGTTCTTGGTGGTTGTTGTTTGGTAGCGGTTCTTGGTTTGTTGGTTCTTTTGGTAACGGTTCTTGACTGGCGCTTCTTTTTTCTTTTTTTTTTTCTTTATTTTTCTGTTTCTTTGAAGGTATTTCTCTGTGGCTATTTTTTTGGATGTTGGTTTTGGTGGTGGTTCATGAATGGTGTCTTTTTTGCATATAATTTTATAAGGGCGCTTCATTGCTCTAGTTTATTCTGGCGGCGGTTCTTATCTGGTGATTTCTGGGCGTTAATTCTGCTACTTCCTCGCCTTTCTCTTTAGCTGTTATTTGCTATTTGCATATACATTTTTAAGCCAATTTTTTTCAACCATTTCCTTGTCTATCCTGATTTTACTCCTTGGCTGTTATTTGTTCTTTGCATATACATTTTTAAGCCATTTTTTTTTCTACCATTTCCTTGTCGATTCTGATTTTCGTTTTCTTTCACCTTTCTCTTCTCTTTCTAGTTTTCCCCTTCTATCTTCCTCTCCATCTCCTCCCATCCGTCATCCGCGTTTCTCTCTCACTCACTCTTTTTATGAATCTCCAATTCCCAAACCTTTCTCCTGTTTAACATAGCCATTTCTGTGTCTCTTTTCATCCCTTCTCTGTCGTTCTTTGTTATTTTCTTACTTTTCTTCAACTCTCTCTTTCTCTTTTTCTCTTTATCTCTCTATCTCGGTCTCTGTCTCTGTTTGTTTAGCTGTCTGTCTGCCTAATTGTCACTCTTCCTTTCTCCCTAATCCAATATTCTCCCCTCATTCTCATTCTCTTCCTCCTACCTCATTCTTCTCTCTCTTTCTTATGCCCCTTTCTGGTTGTGACTGTTAT